GCGGCGATTCGTTGTATTGAAGACTCATATCTTTGAACACTATTTCTCCCATTTGTGGCCAATCTTTGGGTGGTTTCCGATCGGGAGTGGACTCGAGCTCTGCCTCGGGTTTAATGGCTGTGTATTCTAAGACTCGCTCGACAGCAGTCATATAAGACTCAGTATCGGCCGATAATTTAATAGCCAGTTGGATTAAACTGGTTGTAGATATGGCTATATTTATTTTTAAAAATTAAATTTAAGATTACATTAATTAAAATAATCTTTATTAAATTAAAATATATACCCGATGTTAATAAAAGTCCAGCATTTCCTCCCGAAATACCTATTATTAAAATATTTTAATATCTATTAATTTTAAATTAATTTATAGAATAATTTATTACAACATACTATCGGTGTTTAGCATAATATAGACAATAACAACACTGATATAAATTATGCAACTGGTGTCCACTAAGACCCCGAGTGCTCGAGTGCTGCAAATGAATAAGAAGGTCGTAGAGGTGTTGTCGTTTTGGTGGACTTCAAACTGACGCTCAAACATATGCTGTGCGCCAAACGCACGGATCGATGTCAGCCCACACAGCGTTGTGTTCACGTGAGAGTACACCGGACTCCGGGCTGAAATAGGAAATATGTAGAGGTGTTGTCGTTTTGGTGGACTTCAAACTGACGCTCAAACATATGCTGTGCGCCAAACGCACGGATCGATGTCAGCCCACACAGCGTTGTGTTCACGTGAGAGTACACCGGACTCCGGGCTGAGAGAGAATACTTAAATAATTTTAAAAATAAAATGATGTGATAATATTATACTTACACAACCCTTCCATACGCTTTATATCTCTCGCGGCTTTGATATAAAAATAACGGCACATAAACACCAATAATAGCAAAAGTATTGCCGGAAATATCAAAAACCAAATGACGATTGCATTCAATATAAGACTTCCTATAGTTATAAATAAATTCTATGGGAATGAAGAAATGAATTACATAAATTAAATAATGTCATCAATATAATTTACAATAATAACTTCAAAGGCAATCGATGGCAACAATTCGTCGACAATTCCCGTGTCTTTTGAAAACCTATTTAGTATTCGTCCTAAAAATTATTATCAAATGAATTGATTTAATATATAATTAAAATGATAGCAAATGTGTAAAGAATGTAACCTATGGGCGAACTCTCAAACAGATGTATCGGTGATCGCAATAATGCATAGAATACTCGGTTATAGAGATTAACCGAAGATCTCATACACATTATGTAGAAACAAATGGTGGACAACAGGGCCGACACAAACAGACCACAGGTTAGACTCGTGTAGATTATTATATTGAATGTCTGATCATCGTTGGAGTTGTTGTATATTTGATTAGTCCTAATGGATTGAGTTTAATTAAGGTAAGATTGTTTTCTAATAATAATAGTACTAACCATAAGCTCAACCAATAAACACTTCCCTGATTGAGAACTTGCGAAGTAAATAAAAATAAAGTGGTAAGAATAACGAGCAGAGGTCCGGCACCGGCTTTAATGTACTCCATATATACATTAGTCTCAACGGATCCAATCATTTTGAGTTCGGGTTTCACTTTCTGATCCACCCATTCTATCGGTTCCCAAATGTCCGTCACTTCCGATCCCTCACTAAGGGATGAGACCATCGATGGTGTGAGAGATGTTCTCCTTTCCATATCTCTGCTATCATTTGGTCCATCGGTTTGTCTCTGATATGCCATGAGATCAATGCCGCGCTCTTTGAGCTGAGTGTAGGACCCGATGGCCACACACTCGCCGTCGTTGAGCACAAGTATTTGATGCGCGTCTTTGAGAAACTGGATGCTATGGGTCACTAAAACCCTTGCCTTGTCTTTCAAGTACTCATTACAACATCTAATGAATGGGAAACACATTAACTGAATTAAAATATATTTTATTATTAACTTATACTTCTGGAAGAGATGTTTGGCCACATGTGTGTCGACAGCACTCAAGGGGTCGTCCAAGAGATAGATGTCTGCCGAGTGGTACAGAGCCCGGGCCAGACTCAGCCGAGCCTTCTGTCCGCCACTCAATGCCAGCCCTCTCTCCCCCACAAATGTTTTGTCCCCAAACGGCAAGAGTTTGAAATCTGTGTCCAAAGCGCACGCCTTCACCACTCGATTGTATTTCTCTTCATTATATTGAGAGCCAAAC